AAATCACATAATCTTGACTCAAAATATCACATAAATGGCTCTGATAAAGTTATTGCTTCACATGCCAGGTCTCCATCATCTGTACTGTTCTAGACATTAACTTCCAAGTTCTCACAACAGCTCATTGAGCTCTGAACACTTAATAGCTTTCCAAACCAAAATCCTTTACAATGCTCCCCAAAACAACATGGTCATTTCTGTCAAAACAATACCCTACAAATCTGGTATCAATTTGTATCTTAGTTGCTTTCTATTGCTATCAGAAAACACTAACAAAAACAACTTGGAAAGGAAGGCTTTGTTTTATCTTATACCACTCAGATCATACTCCATCACTGAGGCACAAACTCAAGGCAGGAACCTGAAAACATGGACTAAAGCAGATACATAGAGGAGTGCTTCTTGCTGGCTTGCTCCTCATGTCTTACTCAGTTTGCTTTCTTATACAGTCCAAGACCACCTACCCAGGAGTGGCACCACCAACCCTCTTATATCAACCATTAATCAGAAAAATTCCCCCAGAGACTTGTTTATAGCCCATTGTTTTCTTCCAGAGAGTACTCATATAGGTGTTTTCTAGGAGCCTCTCCCTTTTCCAAATCCTATCATCTTTCTCCAAGCTGTTGCAGATATCAAAATGTGGGACTTGGATGTCAGCCTTGGAAATTCATAAGAAATAGTTACAGCTGGGAAGCGGTGGCACATGCCTGTATTCCCAGCACTTGAGGGGCAGAGGCAGGAGGATCCTTGTGAGTTTGAGGCTAGCCTGGTCTACAGGTAGTGTTCTAGGCCTGCCAGGGCTACACCAGTGAAACCCTGTTTCTGAAAACAAACAAACAAAAACCAACCATAACTCAACAACAACAAAAAACTATAACTACAGTTCTATGTGAAGATTTGGTGGATTGGGTTGATAGGAACACAAACTCCTACAGGCAACTTGAATATTAAAGAAGAGTTGCCTAAATCGTCACTATTTTAACATGATGGAATACAATATTTAACAGCACAGAAGTATTTACATTGTTATACTAACTAGAAAATGTGCATAAAACATAAAAGGAAATATGCACACATAAATACTTTGAAAAAATTGCTAGACCTAAGAATCTGGAAAGTTTTATTTCTATGTGCATTGCCAAAAAAAAAAATGAAATGACACAATGTAAACATTTTTTACACTTGTGCAGACAATCCATGTCAATGAACTATAACATTCACAGTAGGACTTATTATGAATATGAGTATCAGAAAGTCCCACCCCATTCACAAGCAGTGAAGCAGGAAGATATCCTTTCCCTTCTTCAGCACCTTAGATCTTGAATATATGCTTCTTGGTTTTTTTTTTCTCTCTCTCTTTTTTTCAAGACAAAGTTTTACTATGTAACCCTGTTAGCCTGAAACTTACTATATATGTAGATTATTGTGGAGATGAAATTATGGTGGTTGAAAGCCATTGGACTTGGGTACTGGCAACTAAACTGGCATCCTCTGCAAAAGCAGGATGTTCTCTTAATTTCTGATCATTTCTCCAACCCCAACAAGGTCTAGTCTTTTGTGAGTATTCACTTCCTGGTTTACAGGTAGCCATCTTACTGTATCATCACAGGGCAGGGAGAAGAGTAAGAAAGCAAGCTCTCTCACACCCTCCATTCTCCCCCTTTTGCTTCTCTACTTGTTCTTGAATCATTTTTCTGCCTCTTTTAAGAGGGGTAATAATATCATTCACTGGAGCCTGACCATCTTGATCTAATTTCCTACTATGGGTTTATGTTTAGACACCATTATACTTGGGATTATGCTCCAAAATACAACTTTAGGGGGCCTATTAATTATCTTCTTATAAAAATCATCCAGGAGAATCTGGAAATTAGAAAAAAATATACACATGTATGTGCACATGCTTGTGGTCATGTCTGCTCTATAGTTGGACAAATGTTTTTCCATCTGCTCCTTCATGGCTAATTTTCACCTGGTGCTTCCCACTGTTTATTCATGTTCAAGCCAAATAATCAATGCCTGGAGTTCAGGTCTACAAATTTTATTGTTATAAATCATTGCAACTACCATAATATATTTTCTCAAGATGAATGCCTAGGAATGGGTTTACATTCTCAAAGGAGATAAATATTTTATGTTCTTACTGTCTAGAAAGATAAAAGTATTTAGAGTTTGTGATCTGTAAAGTAATTAGAAATTCTTGTTACAGTACAGAGTATGTCGTAGTGTGCTTGGATTGAACATACCTTCAGCCACATCCACTATCAATAGGCCTACATAAAAAGGAACAAATGAACAGCAAGGAACCATAATATGGGGTAGGATAACAGATAGTAGGGCACAACACCTGGGTTCAAGTGGACTAGTTTCCTTTCTTTCTTTCCATCTATATCCTCCCCACCCTCTGAAACTCAAGTTAAACTCTTTTGACCCAATATGCTCTTCTCTTTTAGCCTTTCTCTAAACGACATTATGTGAAGAAGGCTCTGTGTTTATAGCGGTACCATTTATGTTAACCCTAGCTCTCAGGCTAGGAGTGAAGATACCCGGTGTGTAGCTATGTGCCACTCTTAGGAAGACAGATTTGGGTGATTAACCTTGATTATCAAGCTGACAGAGATTAGAGTCACCCAGGAGACAAACTTCAGGCTATACCTAGTAGGTTGTTTCTAGATATATTTAACTGAGAGAAAAGACCCATGGCAGCCTTCCATGGGCTAGGATCAAAACTAAAAAGGCAAGCACAGCATCTGTAATTTGAGCAGCTGTTTCATGCATACCTTCCCTCCCATTATGCACTGTACTTTTGGACTATGGGTCAATATAAATCCTTCCTTTCTTAAGTTTGTTTGTCATGTGTTTTGCCACAAGAAGAAAAGTAACTAATATGGGAGATGAGCTCATTATAAGTAGTACACCTTACTGAGGATCTTTTAACGAGCTCTAAGTTTGTTACAAAGGCTGTATTAGTTTGAATTCTCTTACTATAATGAAATATGTGAGGCCAAACACTTAACCAAGAAAAGTGGTTTATTTAGCATTTAATTTCTGAGACCTAAGGGCATGACACTTCTATGGTAAAAGCTTACTGACTGCATCATAGCATGATAGATGACAACACAGCAGGTATGTTTGTGAGAAAAAGAGGAAGCCAGAGAATAGTGTGTGTGGGATCATCTTTGCCTTTTCAAAACAGCCATCTTGTGAAAAATAAATGGGAGCTCCTTGAGAATTGCGTCACTTCCTATCAAAGACAATACCCTTCAATGACCTAATGGCCTCCAACTGGACTGTACCTTTTAAAGGTTCCATCACCTCCCATGTTACCACAATGTGGACCAAGTTCCCAACATACAAACTTCAAGGTGTTATCAAATTCAAGACATTACTTGTGGCTTGAAAAAGATGATGATTCGCAAATGTGTTTTTGAGGCAAAGAAACAGTTTCACTTGGAATGCTAACAAAGCAAAGAATGAGAATCTATTGCCAACAAAGATTATTTTAGTGGATTCAGGAATGCAAAGCAGTTTTTTACAGGAGAAAAGGAAAAAAGGCAATGGAGATAGCAAAGAACTGTCAATTGGAGGTTTCTAGGTTCCAATGGTAAAGAACTGGATATTTTTCTAGTTACTCTTTAGGTCAAACAAACTTTATATTGTTGTTCTGAACAAACCATGTCTTAAATACATGTAAAATTGAACAGAAATCTGACTCAAAGTTTAAGGTATCAAAAGAAAACACACAACAACCAGGCAGCAATGCCAAGTTTTGTTTTGTTTTTTTTTTCTTAGATACTTTAGACACTCACTGGGTATGTGTAACCAAGGGAAGGGCCAGTACTTTCACCTAAAGAGACTTTTAAGTCCCTAACCCAAGAATTTTCATAAAATTAGCAACTTGACTTTCAAAGTCAAGTAAAAGGTAAAGGGGAACATAATTAATCCATATCCAAACCGTAGCTCCATTCTCACTGCAGTGTTCTTTCCAGCAGACTCAAGCTATTGAGTATTTAGTTATCTATGTCTCAAATGTACTTGCTTTCCAGAGGATGGATATATATATATATACATATATATATATATGTATATATATACATATATATATGTATATATTGTAAATATATAATATATAAGTAAATATTGAAGGTTTTCTATGAGCTATTGAAGGTTTTCTATGAGCTAAGTAGTTTGGAGCAATAAAAACACACAGTGTTAAGAATTTCTAGCAATTCAAGATGTGTACAGTATTACCTTCTTTAAGATGAGGAGCCTGTCTGCTAACAAAATGCACTGGCAATTGATCAAACAGTGATTCTCCAACCAGTACAACTTTTTTGGCAATACCACCACCAAGACTATAGAGTCAAACATTATTTTTCTTCATTTTACATCATTCACCCAAATAATATCACAATATAATAATAATTTAAATGGCATATACGTTTAAAGCATCTACTATATACCAAGCACTAGTTTAAGTAATATACATGTATGAATTCATGCATATATCTTCACTTCTAACTGTAAAACATTACTTCTGAAAAGACCACAGAAGTATTAAGAATAAAGTTTAAATTGCCTTCAAGAAACCCCACTCCGATTCCAAGATTCCCCTTCCTTCCCTTGATTTCTGCTCTACCCACCTGGGTCCACAACAACAAAGGAGTACATTTCAGATGAGAAGGGAGGAGCTAAGAAAAGATAGGTTCCAGAGTTAGTGATACTGGCAGTTGGGAGTAGGAGACAGGAAGGGCCTATAATTAAAAGAAGCAGAAAAGATCCGTAGCTTCAGAAAATAAGGTGCTCCTCTTTAGTAATCAGAAAACTGCAAAAACAAACAAACAAAAAACACCCGCACTTTTTTTTTTCCTCCAGAAAAGACTGACAACGCCAAATGTATTTGGGAACAGGGTGGATGACAGAGCAGAGGGCGGGCCCACATCTGCCGCGCTTTTGTGGGAGTGGAGATTGGGGCTCGGAGCTCAGTGGTGACGTAGATCTCATGTGACCAGGAGTCGACGTGTGCAGAAATCCTGCTAGTCTGGTCCTTGTTTCCATCTGAGTACTAGCTCTCTTCAGCCTTGCAGTCGGCGGTGTGAGAGGCCAGCGGAAGAAGGAGACAGCTTGCCTGAATTCTGCAGGTTAGTGTCAGAAGCGATATTGCCTGGGGTTTTGTAGTGTAGGGTGGCCTAGGGAAGAGACTTGAGTCCCCGTTAAGTCTGCCCTTCCAACCCTTACCTTCAATTCTGTGGGAAAGGACACTTGTGAAAGGAACTAGGGAAACCCAAAAGAAAACAAGGGGGCATATGATGATTCAGAAATAATCATAATCTGAGTTTTTGGACCTCTTTTCTGACACCCCTTCCCAAACATCGTCTCAGATATACAAATAGTTGGGAGATAATATCTCTTTCTTACCCCTGTCTGATGAGAAAGACAGGCTAAGTTGTGGGGTGGAAAGGGGGAGTCCTGCGGGAAACAAAGGGTGGGAAACTTCCAGAAGCAAGACCTTAAATACAGGAAGCTCCATGAGCTTGTTCTGTGGTGCTGCTGTGCTGAGCACCGAGGGCTCGCTCGCCCCACCCCCAACATCTTCTCCCTTCTCCGTTTGCCTGCAGGTTTGTTCTTTGTACTGCTCCAAGCTAAAATAAGTAGGAAAAAGAAGCCGACCAGATCGGTACCTGGTAAGTGAGGGGAACTTTACAAAAGACTCCCAGGGTTTAGGTTACTAAAGGCCTGCTGAGGCCAAAGTCCATACTCCCCTCTACCTTTTCCCTCAGGCAGCCTGTCCCCTTTCTGAGGGCCCAGTGTTAGGAGAAAGATTTGTGGAGGCCTGGGGCCAGAGGCGGGAAGGAAGGCCTTGGTAAATGCTTTAAGGAGGGACTAGAGAGAGGAGGGAGTGGAAAATGGAGGTAAGAGGGGTGGGGACAGGAAAAACCTTGATTACAGACTGGGTTTCTCAGGTGGAAGGTATTTGGTGAAGACAGACCAAAAGAGGGTGGGGAGGGCGAGAAGGGTAGTGGGGGAAGAAAAGAGAGGAGGATAGGGTGGGAGCAAATGGTGAGGAGACCTTTGTGCACACCACCTGCACACTTAACAAAATCGTTCACTTACTGCCTTCTACTTGCTTCCTAGAAATAATTGCATTCACGAATAGGCAGGAAGAAGAAAAGCATACACAAGATGAAACCCTGCCAAAAAATGGAAGGAAACTCAGAAAATGAAGAGCCAAAGCCCGAGGAAGAGCCAAAGCCTGAGGAAAAGCCAGAAGAGGGGGAAGAACCAGAAGAGGAGGAAAAATCAGAAGAAACTTTTAGGGAGAGGCTGATTCAGTCGCTTCAGGATTTTAAAGAGGATATACACAACAGGCATTTGAGTAGTGAAGATATGTTTAGAGACGTGGATGAAGTAGATGAGATAAGGAAAGTGAGAAACAAACTTATAGTGATGCGTTGGAAAGCTAATCGAAGCCATCCTTACCCCTATTTAATGTAGTTTGCCTTGGTTTCTATTTTACCTGATATTACCATTGCAATACAGCTTTCTTTTTACTATCGTTTTCCTGATATGCCTTTGCCCATCTTCCTACTTTGAATCTGTTGCAGTTAGTGGTTTTAGGTGTATCTCTTCTTGTCTGTATCTTACTGTTGATTATATTTGAACCAATCTATACATCTCTAGCTTTTAATAAAAGAGCTTTACTGATTTGTAGAAAAAAAAAAGATGAGATTCTGATGGGATACAAAATGAGAAAGGTTACAAAATAATATGAGAATATCGTATTTTGAAAGACAAGAGTACCTTTGTATGTTACATATATGCACATATAAACTTGTGAAAGATGATTTTTCTTCTGCTTATTTGTATTTGCCATATTCCTAAAATGAACACGCATTATTCTTGCTAAAAATAATAAAGGTTTTATAACTAAAAATAAGCAACTTATCAATTTGTTTCTAAAACTAAGGCACTTTTTATTCATTGACAATATTAGAAGCACTGAGTTAAAAATATTACAATTTATATCGATTCTTATCTGCAGTAATAAACATAATAATCTTGTAGGAATTTTGTGGTGGTCAAATAAGGCATGAGAGCTGTTTTATCCCCATTACTAGAGATTTGTTTCTGCTTTCTGGAAGCATAGAGAAAGTAATACTCATAACTGTGCCTGAGAACAAACTCAAGCAACTGTTAAGTGAGTGGTACATAGTCCTTTATGCCTGTCTAGACTCCCATCTAATTGCCTTTGAAAATAACATGGCCCCTCTCCTACATTATGCAAATTTCTTCTGTTTTGATAGACACTCGATATACTTGGATCACAGCATCTTATGGATATACCTTGACAGCTTTGGGATATTATTTTTTCTAATAGAGCTCAGATAGAATGTGCTCATGTGAGAGTTTGACCAAAACACAAGTCTGGATAACAACAATAGTAACAGGAGAATTTCTGCCCTGGATGCCATTTGGTCTTACTGACTCCTGCTTCGGTATAGTGATTGATTTCTCCCCTGCAGGCTGATGACAGGTTCTCCCAGGTTCAACCGATATCCTGAAACTTGTGTCAGTTTTATAGGGAGGCTGAAGTCAAATTTGGGGATGTTCTTAAGCATGGGCAGAAACAGTATTATGGTCATAAGCCACCTATATGTAATTTTTCGTTTATGATACTCTTTTTGGGAGCTCCTCATTTCCATTCTTCAAAATTATGACAGCTGGACAGATGATGATGAGGTTGGAACTTTGTCTGGAGTAAGGTAAGATTCTCAGGGCTTGAAGCAACAATTTTACAGAAAGAAGTAAATCCACTTTTCTGTAGCCTGGAAGGTGGTCACAGGAGCAGGATGTGGAATGGCCCACCCACAGCACACTCTTCAGGGTGAATCTTCCTTTGGTTTCTCTGCTCCAACCTGCAGTAGTGTAGTAAGGCTGATGGCTGGGTTGCCATGGGCAAACTTATCTTAAAAGGGGCGATTTGCCCTCACTGGTAATCAATATACCAGACTTCCTTCTTTTATCAGGAGAAATTGAAGGACGCTTTTCAAAAGAAACATGGCAATAGCTCAGAATTCACTAAACAGAAACATTGGTTTCAGGAATCTTTGTCCCAGACATGATGGCTTTTGTTCTAGTCAGATAGCTTCTGTTAAGGGAGAAGGACTTTGTGGAAGCAGGTGGTGACTTGAGACAATATGTACACATTTTACATTGTAATGTTCATGTATTTATTTGAACATGTATTAAATACTTTTGAGTTAAAGCATATGAAAAGAATTTAAATTGAGGGTCATGTTATTATATATATACTGATAGGAAAAAAATTCATAGCGTAATTGCTTTAGGAATAGTATCTGCAAGCAGCTGTCAGGAACTGTACCAAATCTAAGGTTTTATCCTACTTACAAACTAACAAGTTAGCCTGCTGTTTTTCAGCTTATGCTGGCAGAAGGTATTAAAGTACTGGGTCAGAGACTAAGGACCTTATTATAGAAAAGCCTTAACTAGAACTTCATGTTGATTTGTACTGTCTGTCTGATTTCCATATCTCTCGGGGTGACAAGGAGCCTGAAATAGATGCTTAAACATACACTGGGACTGGAAGATTGACAATTTTCAAAGAAATCCAAAGCCTGTTCTGTGTCTGAAAAAAGATGTTACCTCATATTAAAGGTTGCTTGCTATAAGCACAACTGGAAAACCTGCAAAATTATCTGTCTGGGTAAAGAGTGCTCAGGGCCCTACATTCTTGGCATATGCAGTAAGAACACAGAAGAACACTCAGGGCTTTTGGCAGATCGAATCTCCTAATAACACTTTGCTCTTTACAATACATCATGGTGATGTCAAGCCTTATGAGGTCTTTGAGGAACTTTAAAATTGTACTAAAAGTAGTGTGTGGTGCCCATAATCCCAGCCCTCAGGAGGCAAAGGCAGAAGACCATGAGTTCGAGATCAGTCTGGGCAATGAGGTAATTTTAAGGCCAGACTGAACTACCCAATACTCTATCTTAAAAGAAATGACTGTAAGACATAGTTTGCTATATGGTCCAGAGAATGATCTAAAATAGGGATATTTTTGTTTTGAATTTATTAATTATACAGAAAACTGAAGTAAAAAAATATCAATATCAGACATACAAATGATCAAAAGACAGACAGGTAGGTAAAAAAATATCAAATCAGACACTCAATATATCTAGCAGAAACTGATTGAGGAAGTGCTCTTGAGGCAATTAAGTGCAGTTCTCAATACAGTACTTTATGGAGAGTCCCTGGCAGAACAGAGTGGTCCCCTGCCCCTGTTAGGTGAGGCTTTTAAGTAAAAGAACAATAAAGAACAGATAGGGATAACATCATCAAATCAGGAGCTTACACCCATCAAAAACCAATGGACTGGATGGATGAGGTGGCTAGCTGAAGTTTTTGAATGAGCTTTCTCCTCAGGACTGAGCTCCCATGGCTGAACTTCTGGATTCTTTTTCCTATTGCAGCCACATTTTGTTTCTTGAGTTAAGCAATAGTCAGATATGTTGAAAACTGTTTGACTTCTCGCCTTTCTCAAGGACACCATGTTTTGATTGGGGCTGTTTTCCTGTAACAGACTCAGAGAGGTTAGACCATGCTCAGACAAGAGGCTTGGGAGAATACTTGGAAACATATATGCAACCCACTTTCAGAGCCAGATTTTCAGTAATCTTAAAAGCACAATGCAATTTATTAATATAATATACATTATACAGTCAGTTCATTAACATGTCAATTCAAAATAACTGAGTCAGAAGTGTTAAGGCCACTGGATTCATCAGGATACTAAAGACAGGACTAAACGTGTAAATATTTCACTAAGAAAACAATAGAAAAATGTATTTAAAAATCAGCCCCACATCACATACTTTCATACTTTGTAAAAGTATGGATATTGCCAGGCATGGTGGTACATGCCTTTAATCCGATCACTCAGGAGGCAGAGGCAGATGTATCTTTGTGAGTTTGAAGGCAGCCTGGTCTACAAAAGCGAGTGCAGGACAGCCACGGCTACACAGAGAAACCGTCTTGAAAAACAAACAACAAAAAAGTATGCATGTTTTGCCTCTGTATGCCTAAGCACTGCATGAATGCAGTGCCCACAGAGGCAAGTAGAGAGCTCTGATCTTCTGGAACTAGAGTTACAAGAAGGCCACCAACTATGTGGGTGCCGAGAGACAGAGCAAAACAACAGCAATTGATGGTAATTTTGTTGGATAATTGGATATGGTGTAGTTTTCCACATACCATTGGTGTATGCGTGGGAGGGTGTGCACGACCTTTTGAACTTTTTTTTGTTTAAATGGGGTCTCACTTTGAAACCCTGACTGGCCTGGAACTCTGCTGTGTAGACCAGGCTGATATCAAACTCAGAGAGATCTGTCTGCCTCTGCCTCTACCTCTGCCTCTGCCTTCGGAGTGCTTTGTCTGTTTTTAATTGGAAAAAAAAATGTTCCTGAAATCTTCTGTTACTGTTCTGTTACACATCTTCCTTACTATTGTTAGGTAAATATTGTGTGGTAAAGTAGCTATTTAAATGAGTTAGGTAGACTTGTACATAATGCCTGTTTGCTATACATTGTTAAGACACAAAGGAGGGAGATTCCCTAGTACAGTAGCTTACAGGGTGGCAGTCATGCAGCTTCCTAAGTCTGTCCACTTTTCTGAATTGCTCAGATACTTTAGCTTTTCCTTCTATCTTTTTCTAAGGCTGCTTTTCCTAACACTCTGGTTCCACTCCTTCTCTAAAGCTCCGATCCCTACCATGTGGCTGACCTCTACACCAGCTTAATACAAACAGCTGCTCTGTCTTTCCCCCCCACCCCCGCAACACCCCCCACACTTTCTGTTCTCCACCTCCTTCCTCCAGGACACTACTGAAATTTACAGCTGGTGTGCCCTGGGGGTTTTCTTTTTAAACTCTAGTTAATTTGTCTCTGAGCTTCTCTTTGACTCCACTCTTAAATTCTTTTTAAAAATGAGACTAAAAATCCCCAAATGGGACCTTGATTTCACTGCCATCAGTAGGAAAATCTCTCCTACAGACCTCACATGCCATCTCAGGGCATTCTTAGCCTTTTAGTTAATGGAAAATAGTGGTCTTCTCCCAAAAGCTTCACTGGATAGTCACAAGCATGTCAGAACAGACACAGAGATGGACCAGGAAAGCAGGCTAAAGTTAGCCAAAGATAAATTGTAACTAGGCTCTGGACCTGCAACATTCTTACCTATCCAAAATGATTTAATTTCTAATTACTACCAGCTTTGCAGAAGGTTTAGTGTAAGATGTAAGTATAGTTCTTTTCAAGAGGTTTCATTTACACTGGCTAATGCAGGATCTGATATTTTGTTTTGTTTTTCACCTTTGACCTTTTTTCTCATATACAGTTGCCTTGGTCTCTTTTCTGCTTTAAGAAGGATAAGGGATATGAGGTGCTTTCTTCACTAGGGAGATGTGTCACTTTTCCTAGGCATGCCATCATCTCACTAAATCTTACTGTAAGTACTGATTTTTTTTGTTTAATTAAAAAAGGACTTATTTATTTTATGTGTTTGAGTGCTTTTTTTCCTGCATGTATGTATGTATATGCATCATCTGTGTGTCTGGTGCCTGAGGAGGCAAAGAAGAGGGCATTGAGAGTTGCAAACAATTGTGGGCTCCCATATGGGTGCTGGGAAACAAACCCTCTGTAAAAGAGCCACAAGTGCAATTAACTGCTAAGCTATCTCTCCATGCCAGTGTAAGTACTTTCTATTCACCTCAATTCAAGTTTGCCTCTAAATGTTTCCCCCTCCTTTGCTGGAATCTTTAGGCATACAAAGAAAACAATGCCCTATTCCAGCCTAAAAGAAAAGAATCATAAAAACCCAGTTCATGTTTACTTCCTAAACACAAAG